CGCTCGCCATGCAGGAGGGGGAGAAGAAGAGAAAGAGAGTGAGAGGCACGAGGGGGAGAAGAAGAGAAAGAGACGGAGAGAGAGGCAGGAGATGGAGGAGAGCTGGGGGGGACAGGAGGCAGAGGAGAGCTGAGAGAGAGAGAGAGAGAGAGAGAGACCGGAGGCTCAGGAGAGACCTGAAAATCCTGTCTTATGGCGGGCTAATTGGCTAGTTTCTGAATAGTTAATGATGCAAGAGCCATTTCAAACCAGCCAATTTTATTCCATAAATGACCAATTCAAAGAAAAGCAAGAGGACTTCTCTCTCTCTCTCTCTCTCTCTCTCACACACACACACACACACTGGATTTCTTCACACAGTGCACTGTCAACTGGTGGAACTCCTTGCCAGGGGATGCCATGATGGCCAAAAGGATATCTGGAATTAAAAATGAATTAGATAAACGAGTGACTAGTAGCCATGATTATCGGGGAGGCTGCCCCATGGTGAGTCTTAAGAACAAAAGGCCATACTGGGTTACACCAAAGGTCCATCTAGCCCAGTAGCCTGTCTGCCAACAGTGACCAATGCCAGCTGCCCCAGAGAGGGTGGACCGAAGACAATGATCAAGCGATTTGTCTCCTGCCATCCCTCTCCAGCCTTTCACAAACAGAGGCCAACGACACCATTTTATCCCCTGGCTAATAGCCTTTTATGGACCTAACCTCCATGAAATTATCTAGCTTCTCTTTAGACTCTGTTACAGTCCTGGCCTTCACAGTCTCCTCTGGCAAGTCTTCCTTCACTGCCTGCCCTAAACCTGGAACTCGATGACGGGGGGCGGATCACACTTGATAATTGCCCTGTTCTAGATGTTCCCGTTGAGGCATCTGGCACTGGTCACCGTCAGAAGACGGGATACTGGGCTAAATGGACCTTTGGTCTGGCCTGGTCTGGCTGTTCTGCTGTAGGTGGCTCTACTTCACGAAGGGTATGTCTACACTACTAGTTCAAACTAGGGTGGTAATGTAGGCAACCGGAGTTGCAAATGAAGCCTGGGATTTGAATTTCCCGGGCTTCATTTGCATCTCGCCGGGCGCCGCCATTTTTAAATGTCCGCTAGTGCGGACTCCGTGCCCCGCGGCTACACGTGGCACCAACTAGGTAGTTCGGATTAGGCTCGTTCCACGAGGAGTAACGGTAGTTCAGAATAGGAAGCCTAATCCGAACTACCTAGTCCAAACTACCTAGTTCGTGCCGCGTGTAGCCGCGGGGCACAGACTCCGTACTAGCGGACATTTAAAAATGGCGGCACCCGGCAATATGCAAATGAAGCCCGGGAAATTCAAATCCCGGGCTTCATTTGCAACTCCGGTTGCCTACATTACCACCCTAGTTCGAACTAGTAGTGTAGACATACCCGAAGGGTGCATCTTCACTGCACCGTTCTTTCGAGATCATTCGCGTTATTTCGCAATAACAATGTGTGAGTGTCTACACGGCCATTCCGGTATTTCGAAAGCATTTCTAAATAACGGACCGCTCATTCCGACGTCTGTAAACCTCATTCCACGACACGTAACATCTGCTCCGAAATAGCTATTTCGAAATAAGGCGTGTGTAGACGCTCCACTGCTGCTATTTTGAAATAGCCCCTCACCAGGGCCTTTCTAAGGAATTTCTCCCCAGTGCCTCCTGGGGCTCTAACTGGAGATAGCCCGGCTACAGTAGGGGAGCCTGCCTTGGACTCATTTTGAGGCCTTGCTGCAGTGTAGACGTGCTATTTCAAAAGAAGCTATTTTGGAATAACTATTCCGGAATAGGAGCTTCAGGGGGTAGCCGAGTGAGTCTGCTACAGAAACAAAGAACAAATGGTCTGGTCGCATTTCTAGACTTAATAGCTTATTTCGAAATAGTCGGTGGTTATTCATGGGAATTATGCACCGAGGTATATTAGGTGCTGTTGAAAATCCCACCCAAAATAAATGAGAGAGAGAGAGACAGAGCGAAATCCTGGCAGACAAAGTAGCCTGGTCCAGAGCTCAGCAAAGAAGCTCGAGGATTGTTGTAACGTAGCCACCAGGGGGCGCTCTCTGGCTCCAGGACCGCGGCTCTAGCGCCCTGGCCTCTGGCAGGAGATTTATATAAGAGTTCAGAGACAGTGCAGCTGAAGGCAGGGACGGAGGGATGACGGTGCCACTGCACAAGGCTGGATTACCTTGCGCACAGCCGCGCCCACACCCAGCCAGGCGGGAGAACAGAGCCGCAGGGCAGCAGCGTCCCAAGGCTGGGGCAGTTCAGATCCTGTCCAGACTGACCCAGCACTCCGGAGAGCTCTGCCCGCCCCGCTCCGCCCAGGGGCTCTTGCAGCACCTCCTGCCCGGCGAGCTTCCCTCCCTCCGAGCATCGGTGCCTTTCCCTCCCCACGTGCACCTGGCTCTCACGTCTCTAGCGCCAGCTGCCTGCTGCTCTCAGGTGGGCCTCGTTCCATACTCGGCTTGGCTTGGCCCGCGCTCTCCAGCCCACTCCGCCAGGCTCCGGCTCTCTCGGAGGGGCGTGAAAGGTTAACCATCTAACCAGTAAGCTCCACAGCTGAGGCCTAGCGGTTACGGTTAACCGGCGGGGGCTGGAGCAACCCCCTGCCCGCCCGGTTTAATAGGTTAACTGGTCAAACATAACGTTTAACCGGTTAACTAATTACACGGAGTTCTGCGTCCCTATTGTCCAGTCTAGTACCCAGATGCGGCCGCGGGAGCCCTGACGTGGGGTAGTTTGCCCCCCACTTCAGATCTTGCTCATAGCTGGCCTACACCCTGCAGCGTGAGGCCGAACCGCCCTTCCCCCACGCTTCGTTTGCCTGGGCCAGGATGCCGCTGACGGCCACACGAACGCCCGGTCTCCCCTTCGGCTCGGGAATGTCACCAAGCTGCAGCGCTGCTGCTCACGCGAGGGGAGTCTGGCCCCGCACTGATGAGTGGCCAGGATTTTCAATTCCCAGCAAGCCGGTTCCCTGTTCTACTGCCCCTGCGCCGCGCTCAAAGCCGGGCCCGGTGCCAAAGGCGAGCGCCCTCCCTTCAGCACGTTCTCTGGGTTTCTCTCGCAGTGACGAGGACGAGCTGAGGAAATCGCTCTCGGAACTTGTGGACGACAAACTGGGAGCCAGCGCCAAGAAGGTGACGAGAATCGTAGACGGCAGCAATCCCTTCCTGGACCTGCCGCAGGCGCTGAACGCGGTCACCTACAAGCACGGCGTCCTCACCCGGAAAACCCACGCCGACACGGACGGGAAGAGAAGTAGGTGGTAGGCAGAGAAGCACGGCGTGCCGGGCAGGGCCCCCGAGGGCAAAGAGGACAGCCCCAGACATGCCAGGACAGCACCCTGGGGCTCCCAGTGGGGCTGTGTATCTCCATCCCACCCCACCCTTGGAGCCCCGAACACTCCTCGAGCAGGGGGGCAAACCCAGAGCACTGCCGCCCGGCACCGACTGGCCGTTTTGCAGCTGGCCCCGTCCGATCCCGGGCTTAACCCAAACTGGGCATCCCAGCGCCCTGAGCGACAGGGAACGAACGCCCAGCCCCAGCGCCCATCTCTAGTACGAGCCTCGCCCCGGCCAGCCCCTGAACCCAGGCAGCTTTGGCCCCTCTCCATAGCGCCGTTACCTGCCTGAGCGCCACCATGCCAAGTCACGCGCCGAGAAACGGGAGCGCAGGAGAGAGGCAGGGAAAGGTTCTGCAATGACCGGCAATTAGCAGCCCCCCCAGGGATTCCTTCTGTGAGTGGAGATGGATGGGCCTGGCGCAGAGACCCAGTAAGACCCCCCGACACCCCAAGGGCTCCCCTCTGAGCAGCCCCTCCCTGCCCACGACGGACAACCCCTCATGCAGCTACTCTCCAGGGCCCCCACGGACGTTCCCTGCACGTGGCCAATGAGAAGAGGACCCTGGTCCCAGCCACGGGTAACAAGCCGCTCTGCTTCCTTGCAGCCCCGAGAGGCAGAAGAGGATGGAAGAAATTTTACGCTGTGCTGAAAGGGACCATCCTGTATTTGCAAAAGGTAAAACCATCCACCGCCGCCCCGCCCTGGTCTGTAGGCCCTCAGCTGGCTCCAGAGCAGTGCTGCCGTGGCACGGGAAGGCCACGGAAGAGGGCAGCACGAGGCGCCACGTTCTGAGGTGGGAGGGGAAATGAGGCGAGACCGTGGGGAGGCGGCAGGGGGGCACCCGCATTGCTGAGGTCGGTGGAGGGTCAGGCTGGTCTTTTGCTGTGGTGGGTGTGGGGTCCAGCGAGGCGGTCACATGGGCCTGCCACTGCCCACACAGATAGTCCAGTGGACTCATGGGAAACGTGCCTGCTTACGGCGAGGCATGGGCTCCGGGGCTTTGCTGAGCCGGGGCCTTAGGCGGGATCCACGCTGGAGTCTCTTCTGGCAGCCCGTACCCTAAGGGGCCATGGACGCCCACGGCTCTGCTCACCCTGTGTGCCCAGGGGCAAGGCAAAGCCCCAGCCCCGCCCCAGAGAACAGCTGTAGGACCCCACCCCTGGGGCCCAGCGCTGTTGTCACCGGTGGCCTCCTGTCTACCCCTAGGGCCCTTCCTGTCGCCTTCCCGTCTCCAGCACAACGGGGGTAAACAAACGCAATTATATAAGAGAGGCACGCGGGGCCCTCGGGGCAGCACCAAGCTGTGACTCAGCCCCACGCTCGCACCCTGATGGGTGCCAGGTCCGCACGCTCAGCGATCCGCCCGAGGCTGATGGGAATGGCTTGGATGCCTGTTGCTCTCGCCTGTTTGGATTGTCACACCCAGCGTACGGGAGCAGGGAGGCTGTGGCATCTAAGAGGGGTGATGTTAGCTACCTCTGTGAGTCCTCAGCCAGTCCCCCGGGTAGCCACCACACTGGCGAAGAGGCTGGCTTTCGGGAGGTCTGAAGCCATATTAACTCCAGAGACCAACGGGGGTAAATAGAATCGGCCAGTTTAGAGTCCCTCCTGCGGTTTCTGTTTGCTGGGTCATTCTGCTACCCATCCATGCAGACTGTCTGCGGATCGTTGCTGTGGGCTGTTCAGTAGCTGCCACATTTCGCCCCAGAGGTAGCTGCATTTCAGGGCATGTGATCTCCAGGGATAGTTTATAAATCAGCTAGTAGTATTAGTCTTACGGTAGTACCTCTATACCCCAGTGCCTGTTGTTCTAGCTGCCTTACACACAAGGGCTGTGTCTAGACTGGCAAGTTTTTCTGCAAAAGCAGCTGCTTTTGTGGAAAAACTTGCCAGCTGTCTACACTGGCCGCTTGAATTTCCTCAAGAACACTGACTTCCTGCTGTCTGAAATCAGTGCTTCTTGCGGAAATACTATGCTGCTCCCGTTCGGACAAAAGTCCTTTTGCGCAAGAGGGCCAGTGTAGACAGCTCAGATTTGTTTTGCGCAAAAAAGCCCTGCTCGCGAAAATGGGGATCGGGGCTTTTTTGCGGAAAAGCGTCTGTGCCAATCTAGACGCTCTTTTCCGCAAATGCTTTTAACGGAAAACTTTTCCATTAAAAGCATTTGCGGAAAATCCTGCCAGTCTAGACGTAGCCAAGGAATAAAAAGAGCAGCCCCAGCGAGCTAATGATACATACAAGTCACTGGGCAGAACCGACCGTCAAGGATGATGCGCAAGCCAGAAATGACCTGGCTTGCCACGCGGGAAAAAATGTCTCTTGGCCTGTGAAGTGAGCACATCTGCCACTGAAATCAGCAAGGGGCAAGAAATGTGGCAGCCAATGAGAGAGACGCACGTACATTTCACTGTCAGTTGTGCTTGCGGGGATGGGAAACAGGTGAGTCCACGTACCCCGAGACGTTCTTCTCGCCATGCATCCGGCCCCGCTGGCGGTCTCCCTGCAGCCCCGCGAGGTTTAGAGCGTTGGCGAAGCCTGTTCACAGGTGGGCAGCGCCTGGAAACGGACATTTAATACATTGTCTCCTGTGTGTGGCCATGCCTCCCTCTGTGGGCTGCCCAGCCACTCCCCATTGCATTGTGGGAGCTGTAGTCTTCCAGGCAGCCTCACTCCTCGCGGACAATGGGGGCCCAAACTACAACTCCCATGAAGCAACACCCTAGAGAAACGAGGTTCAATTTTTCAGCCGATTTTTTTCTCTGTTCAATTTTTCATGCGCCTCACCCCAAGCCAAACATTCCCTGCGGCAGGGCGGCCTCAGCTCTGCCGCTGCTAGGTCCCAAAGTCACTCTGAGACCCGGGGTTCAGTAGCCACCGGGGCCCCACAACTGTTCCAAGGACCCTGCCCCATCGGTCGGTCCCCTCGTCGCCCACAGAGGAACCCAGCTGAGGCCCGGACCTGGAGCCAGCAGGCTGCGGACCCTGTGTGGGGGGAGCTGGCGGATGACAGGACCCCAAGGGCCAGCAGGTGGCAGGGAAGCCAGTGGGGCTGACGGGACCCCCACCCCACCAGCCATGTGGGGGGAGTTCCCCTTCCTGTGTCCCTGTCATCCATGCTGCCAGTGGGGCCCCGGGGAGGTCCTCAGCTCTCCTCCCATTTGTCCCCGGGGCCTCTCCAGCCTTGGGTCGCTCGGGTCCTCCTCCCGCTCTCCACTTCCCTTCTCCGCCTCCCCTCCCTCCTGGGGAAGTCTGTCTCCGCACCCCGCCCCGTGCGTGCAGCCACCTCCACCGCATTCGCTCGGTGGTACCTCACCCCGTCGGTGAGTTCTGGGGGGCTCTTAAAAGTGCCTACGGTTAAACCTTATGATCGCCCCCCGTCTGGGCAGCCGGCCTCAGCCACCAGGTGGCCCGGCCCGTCGACTCTTGGGCGTGTGCCCGTCCACCTCGCCGACTGGAGCATCGGGTGCCGCTTCTCTGCAGACAGCCCCGCCCCAGCCAAGATGGCCACCTTTACCGCTTCCTCGTTCCTGCCTGCTCGTCACTTACAGTCGGGTAGGCCACTTGGGAGGGAGCCACTCGCAGGGCCCAGCTGGCCTGCCCCATCCAGCCCAGGGGCTACCCGCTCAAAGGTGCCTAGGAAGGCATTAGGGTCACGTGTCAGGCCCGTTACAACGCCCAGCCACCGGCCCCTCCCCTGGGACCTGCCACTTTCTGCAGGAGCCGCTGTTGGCTGGCGGCCCGCCCCGGCACAAAGCCCCACAGGCCCGTCTGCTGGCCAGGTGAGCACGGCCTGGCTCTCCAGCTGGTGGCAAGGCTCTGCATTGCCTTTGCACTGCCCCCTGCTGCCTGACCAGCCTTGCAGGGGATCTGGGCTGGCTGCCACTTGCGCTGGCACGGGCGTTCCCGGACAAGCCCCCATGTGTAACGGGGCTGCCTGGACTCTGTCCCTAACAGGCCTCGAGTCACTCGGAGACCCTGGGTTTGGTAACCACGGCGCAGCTTATTCACAGGCATCTTCCCATCCCGGTTTTCACCCTTACAGGAACCCTCCATCATAGGGAGGGGAGAGCTACCTCCCCCTCTTCTACTCCCTGCCTGTCTCCCTTCCTCCTGCTCCCGTCCTTAAGGGAGAGCTACCTCCCTGCTTCTACTCCCCTCCTGCTCCTGTCCCTAAGGGAGAGCTACCTTCCTGCTTCTACTCCCCTCCTGCACCTGTCCCTAAGGGAGAGCTACCTCCCTGCTTCTACTCCCCTCCTGCTCCTGTCCCTAAGGGAGAGCTACCTCCCTGCTTCTACTCCCCTCCTGCACCTGTCCCTAAGGGAGAGCTACCTCCCTGCTTCTACTCCCCTCCTGCTCCTGTCCCTAAGGGAGAGCTACCTCCCTGCTTCTACTCCCCTCCTGTACCTGTCCCTACCAAGTCCTTCTCTGGAGGGTTTTATGGAGCCCCAGGCTCCTTAGGGAGAAGCTGACTCTGCTTCCCAGTTAGGGCAGGCTATCTCCAGCTGGCTGAGGAGGGGGTGTGACGGAGGACCGGCTCTGCTACCAGAGGCACTGGCCTTTTGAGTGCTGCGGGCCCCGGGTTCGGTTCCTGATGTCTCTATGGATGTGGCCATGGTTTGTTCCACATAAACGTGAGACTGCTGCATCTCCAAACCCACAGCCCTTTCAGACCAGCCCCGTGGTGTGCTGCGATGTTAGAACACTCCGGGGAAGTCGAGGTCACACACCCCGAGTCCCTACGGTGGGGAAAAGCCCCTCAGACCTGCCTCCCATTGTCCCTCCACCCCCTTCCCTGCCAGGTGATGCAACCTTCACGTTTTCTCTGCGGTTTGCCTGTAAGGAGCCAGGCCCTCCAGGTAGGCATTTGCTTCCAGACTTTTCTTGGCCGGGCTCCGCTGACTATCTCATCCCAGGAGGCCTGGCGGCCGTGTGCTCATACACGTCGCAGCATTTCACCACAGATGGGTTTTTCTGTCTGCTTCCGAAAAGCAGCTTTCAGGCACTTCTACGGGCAGCCGCACAGCTCTGTACGGATGGACCCTTCTCACTCAGCATCCGGCGGCCGCTGGCTGGACGGCTTTGCTGCTCCTCCCTGCGGGCAGAGATACTTGTATTCGTGCTAGCCCTGCAAAGTCTGTGCCCATCTAGGCGAGCAAGGGGCAAGCCCTCAGCTGGGTTCTGCACAGAGCGGCTCTCGTGCCGCGGAAAGGTTTTGGCCTCCCGCGTTGCACAGGGAGCACTGGGAGCTCAGGACAAATACGTTTTGGCTGCCAAAGCGCTGTGTCGTCAGCTAGAGACACTAGAGATGGGGTCTGGGTCGCCTGTGAGCCCCTGTTCTTGGGCTGTGTTTGAACGGGAGGCAGGGTTCTCGGGGCGCATCTGAGGCTACTTCTTGCGCAAGAAGCTTTTTGCGGAATTGATCTTCTGCAAAACCTTCTTGCGCAAGAGCGCACCCACATTGCAAAAGCACATCGGAAAAACGATGCGCTTTTGCGTGAGAGAATCCAGACTGCATGGACGCTCTCTCGCAAGACAGGTCTGATTACTAGTCACGGGATAGCCGCCGGAGCACCTGTGCTTTTCTCCATTGGCTTTTTTTGTGTAACCTCTCCCCTCCCCCCCGTTACCCGTCCACACACACTCGTGCGCAAAAAGGAGTTATTCCTCGTAGAACGAGGGATACCTGCACCGCAAAACCCCCTGTTTTGATTTACTGTACATTTATTTGCACAAAAACACGCTTGAGGTGTGGACGCTCCGTGGGCTTTTGCGTGAAACCCCTGTAGTGTAGACGTAGCCTGAATGGAGAGAGGCCTTTTGCGCTGAAATGCTAATGCCGCGCATCCTCCTGCAGCGAGGGAAAGCGTTAGCCGCAGGGCAGGTTCATCTCTGGTGATGTCCATCAGCTTAGCTCGAGAAACCAGCCACCAGCCGCTGAAAATCAGTTCTGTTCAGGTTCTAGGGGCTGTGCCGACCTCCGGGCAAGTGAGCCGAGGGTTCAGGACGGACGCCCGTATTGTCCGTTCCCTAGCAGGCGGGGGGATGTGGCACCTGACATTTTCCCGGGGAAGGGAACAGTGGAAGAAGGTTCCAGAAGGACGTTAATTAGCATGATCATCCCAGAGCATTTCATGTAGAGCCGAGTCTTCTCCTGGCCTGGGTGCTTTGTCCCCCGGCGCAGGTTTGTTAAAGAGCCCCCAGACGCCAGCGTGGTCATGCTCCTGTGACTGCTCCTTCGTGGCAGGACGAATATAAACCCGACAAAGACCTGTCGGAAGTGGATCTGAAAAACGCCATCCGGGTCCACCACGCCTTAGCCACCAGAGCCTCCGACTACAGCAAGAAGGCCAACGTGCTCAAGCTGAAGACGGCCGACTGGAGAGTTTTTCTCTTCCAAGCTCCGTGAGTACGGCAGCGTTTGGCCTCGTGCATCTCTGTCCGATAGGGTGCAGCCGCTTTGGGGTGAGCAGATGTCCTGGTTTTATGGAGCCGGTCCCAGTGTTCGGGGCTTTGTCTCACGGGGGCGCCTGTTACCTCCCTCCCCGATTGTCACACTTGTGGTCTGGTCACCTCACGTCGCTTCCCCCTGTGCAATGGGGTGTGAGGATGGACCGGATCGAACGGGCGGGTGTTAAGTCACCTCGCAGAGGCAGCTGGGGATGCCAGAGTGGGGCCGTTCCTTGCGGTGTGGCTGCCAGATCCCGGGCTCCTTACTTGGCTGTTGCGCAGGCCTGACTGAAGGACCGGGAGGATGGCCAGCTGTCCAATCACACAGACACAAACACTCTGGCTCCGCCCCTAACCCTGCACCCTCCCCGAGGTCCTGTCCTGGCCACACCCCTTCCTCGAGGCCCCGCCCTGCTCACTCCACCCTCACTCACTTTCCCTGGGCTGGGACAGGCGGATGGAGTTGGGGGGAGGGTGCAGGCTCAGGGCTGGGGCCAAGGGGCTCAGAGTGTGGGAGCTGGGGCCAGGGGTGCAGGGTGTGGGCCCTGGGAGGGGGGTTAGGTGCTGGAAGGGGCTCAGAGCCGCCCAGGACAAGGCAGGGCCCGTAGCTGGGAACCGGCATTGCTGCGTGGCCTGGGCATAAAACCAAATGGCATCGCTCGGGCTGTGTGGACAGAGATGGAGAGCTGGCGTCTCGGGCTTTCGCTAGGACAATTTGGGGGGGATGGGGAGGAGGGTAACTAACAATCCCATAAAAACAAGGAGCAGTCCTGTGGCACCTCAGAGACTCAGAAATGCGTAGACAGAACCAGGAGCTGGTGTGGGCACAACCCACTTCCCCAGACGCGCTCGAGTGGGGAAAAGTTCAGAACAGGACACGTCCAGCCCACTCCATTCACCTCACTGGCCCCGGCACGACCACAGCGGGGACGGTTTTTCCTCTCCCTTTGTTTCCTGTCCTGCGTCTGACAGTTCCCCTGGTTTCTCCACCCAGGCGCCGCAGAGGGAGCGGGTTTCCCCACAAACGCTCATGACGCTGTATCTATTTAGCTGTTAGTCTCTCAGGCGCCGGAGGACTGCTCAGTGTTCTTAAAGTTACAGACTAACCCGGCTCCCTCTGAGACTTTTGAACAGTCCCACAGCCCCATGGTGCCCAACACGCAAGCCACTATTCCCGTGTGGGAATAATGTGGCTAGCGCGCTACAGGAGCTACTCCAATGGCTGCTTCAGAGCAGGTTGGACACAGCTGAGACCTTGCTGGGTTCCAACCCTGACAAACCCACAGGCACCGAAAAGCAGGGCTACTTCCAAGCGAGGCCGCGGGCGACAGGGCTGCCTCCGAAGCGTCCCTCCCGCTCGCAGGCCTGAGCGCGGGGGCAGACCCTAACTCTCTCTCCCCGTGACAGAAGCAAGGAAGAAATGCTGTCCTGGATACTGAGAATAAACCTCGTCGCCGCCATTTTCTCTGCCCCCGCCTTCCCGGCTGCCATCTGCTCCATGAAGAAATTCTGCCGTCCCCTCTTGCCGTCCTCAGTGACTAAGCTGTGCCAGGTGAGGCCTGCGGGAACGGCAGGGGCTGGGACGCTGGCCGGCATGGGGCAGACTTTGGTAGCTGCCGGGTGCACTGTGGGATGTGGCCAAGGTGGATCTGCTGCTCCTTTCAGGTTTCTACCCAGGCTTTGTGCCATGAGCAGAGAACCCCGCTCCCGATCTGCAGGCTGGGACTGAGTCTAGGGTTGCCAGGTGTCCGGTATTCATCTGGACAGTCCCGTATTTTTGCCTCCTGTCTGGTAAAAAAACATTCAGAAAATACCAGACACCTAAGATATCTGGCATTTTCTGATTTTTTTCCCTGGCCAGGAGGCGAAAATGCCGGGCACCTGGCAACCCTACAAACACTCAGCGCCCGGCCTCCCCTTCCCCCAACACCCCCAGTCCCCAGCCCCCATGCTTACCTGGTTCCACAAGGCTGCCGGCACAAACTGGCAGC